GAGCAAGGACCCCTGGGTTTCGATTCTCGTGGTTGGAGTCAGGAAAGGGAGGGACTGGGGAATCCACATTACAGTAGTCGTGGCTGAGATCTTCATTCCCTACATGAGGTGACCAAATTGATTTGAACTTCAGTACATTCCTGTCTCAACTTGTAGCGCTGAGTCAATAAACCTGACATGACATGAACCAGAGTGCCCGGTGCTTTCTTTTAGCTCTAGCTAAAAGCCTTAACTCAGGTGTGGTCATATGAACTCAGGTGTAGAAATGACTGCCAGAGAAGTACTGGGGGCATTCTCAAGATGCTCAGCAAGGCTCAATTTTGCTTTATGAATCTGATTAAGAGATGTACGTTAAACATTCAAGGGCTGCAGGGCTAATGACACAGTATCTTCCAGCTATTTTTTGCCTAGTTTGTGCTTCTTAAGTTTAAAACATAATCTAGCAGATTCAGTTAAAGTTATATTTCTTTGACTTTGATCTGAAACTGAATGCTATGGCACTAGGCTGCTAGCCTTCACTGGAGAAAATATGTGTTCTTCTCTCTCTAATGATGTATCGCCCCATCTGTACCCACTTGTTCCAGATCCTAGATCCACCCATGACTCCTCTCCCCTGCACTTGCTGTCATACCTGCAACCCCCTCAACCATGGGTTTTGCTCCCACACACTAAAGGGAGCTGTGTGCTTCCTAGACTGGAAAGATTGTTGTTCTTTTCACCATTTCTGATGCAAAGAGATTAGGCTCATGAAAGCTTATGCATTTTTGGCTTAGTCTATAAGGCGCATCTCTCCCCTACCTCCCGTCTCTCTGCCATAGGTCACCCCAAATGATCAGAGTAAGACCAGGGTGGATGGGCTAAGAGACCTCAACAGATCATAGAGTCTGACCCCCTGCCCTGGGCAGGAAAGAGCACTGGGGTCAGATGGCCTCAGCCAGATGCCTATCCAGCCTTCTCTTAAAGACCCCCAAGGTAAGGGAGAGCACCACCTCCCTTGGATGGGCTAAAGGAGGGAACAAATTGCCTGTCACTTCCCTGCTGCATGTTGGAGATACAGAGTTAGTCTCCAGGGCTGCCAGTGGTCCTTTCAGCTACATGTAAATCCCTGCTGTGTCTGAGCTCAGGACATCCTGGGATGTTGATTGTAACTGTTGGTCTAAGAACATAGGCAGACAAGGTTCTTTGGGTAAATCTGACTCTCCCTCTACCTGAAGAAGGGTGTTTATACCCAAAAGCTTGCAAAGAAGAATTTTTCCAACTATTTTAGTTGGTCTAATAAAATATATCAGATTGACCCAAAGAACCTTGGACGCTGTGAAAAGCATTTCAAATTGTGGTCGCGTTATATCACGCACTTCTGACCCTCGGCACCTTCCTGGGTTTCGCAGCACCTCAGACCCTCTTTGCCCACACAAGGGTGCCAATCTGAAGCTATTGAGCACTGTACAGCTGTCAAGTCACACATGACACTACAAATTGCCTAGGTACGAGCAAAAGATTTTGGGTAGATGAAGGCTGCCTTACACCTGCACCCAAAGCGGCTGGTAACAGCCTCAGTCAGAGACAGGCCTGGGTGGGCGTCTTTTTGCAATGGGTTTTGTCTTCCTCCATAGTGGGGGGCACAGCCCTTTTCCTTGGAGCTCTCCAGTACATGTTAACCACCCTTGCAGCAGCTGGGCACTGCCAGCCCTCACCCCTCCTGCTTTACTTGGGGCAGGCTCGCATGCTTTGCAGGTTTGGGGGCAATGGGCCCTGTAGCTGTGCAACGGGATTGTTTGCTATTAGGAACAGTCAGACAATGACGTGTCTGGGGTGGTTTGCACAGAGATGATCCTGCCTCAAGCAAAGGGTTGGGCTAGATGCAACTGCCAAAGGTCCCTTCCGGACGTACGTTCCTGTGATTCTGTAGCCTTTCTTCCTCCAATTACAACAGCTGCAAACACTTCCTTGTAACTCATCTGCCTGTCTACAGGGCGAAACACACAATGCAATAATGACAAGCAAAAGAATAGCAATAATAATGTATGGTGCTTTTAGATCTGAGTCCCCAGCTTGTTGTTCATGGTCTCAGACAGCAGAGAGCATCTCTGGTACTTTCAAGCACTTGCAGAGTTTGAATCAGGCACAGAGCCAGGGCTGGGGGCTTGTGTCTGGGTTCAGGGAATAGTCAGAGAAGAAAGGCCTGACAGAAAAATGCAACCCTCGGATCTGCATCCCTGACGGCACCCAGCCCTGGAAGCAACTCTGCCACAGGCAGGAGCATGCCACAGCCCACCACATGTAGCCCAGAGGGATGCCAGCCTGCACCATCACAAACCTCTCTCCTGCCCCACGCACAGTCCCTGCCCCAAAACTTCCCTCCCAGCTGCCCTGGGTTCGGCCGCAGACTCACCCCCTGGCCCCTGCTTTATGCTGGAATAGCTGCCTGTCTGTCCCCTACGTGCTACAGCTGGTGGTTGCTCCATCTCATGGTTGCCAGGCTTGCTGAATGCCTCCCAGTACACTGGACTCCCTACACATGGCACAGAAACCATAGCAGGCTCTGTCCCATGCCCCTGCCTTCAGCAAAGCCCCCTCACTCATGGTCTGCCTGTCCCCACTGCCCTGGCCCTGCCGGCAGCTTCCCTTCCCTCAGGCCCTGGGGGATGCCCTCCCACTAATCACCCCTGCCATAGGAAAGTCTGAAAGGAGCAGAAGAGGTCACATCCCTGCCTCAGGGGATGCACTGTCTCTCCCCAGTCCCCACAGCCCTGATGGCAGGACCTTTGGCAGGAAAAGCCTGGCCTCTCACTAGGGCCCCAGCAGTGGCGTTATCCTAGGGAGTGCCTCCTATCCAAGTCCACCCAGCCTCTGGCCCCCTCCTCCTTAATAATACCCCCTGCTTGATCCAAAACTGCCTTTCCTATCCACATTCACACCTTCCCCTGCCTCCCAGGCACTGCTTCCCCCTCCTCCCCCTTTGCCATGACCCCCCCAATCCTGCCCAGAGTCTGCCACACACAGGTACCCCCTTCCCACTGCCAACCCCAGCCCCTGATTGACTGCCCCTCATAGGCAACATCTCTGTGGGGCCTTTGGGGCTCAAGCACCCACCGAAGAAATGAGCAGGTGCTCAGCCCCCACAACTCCATGCTTGCAGACATTAAAAACAACAAATGCTGTTCACCAAAAGAAGCATGTGTTACTTCAACCCAGCTCTGCAGCATCTGCAAAGATCAGGCGCTTTAGCAGAGCTTTTTGGCACTTTTTTAGCTACAGTTGACTCAATCAGCTGTTAGATAAAAGCACCAAAAAGCCCAACTAAAGTGCCTGATCATTACAGATGGAACAGAGCTAGGTTGAAGTAGCATGCTGCTTCTTCTAGGCATGTGCAGGGTTTGGCATGGGGATAGGCTGAGTTTAAAGTAAAACACCGGGAGGGTTTTGTTGTTGGGAGGTTGTTTGTTTGGTTTTTTTTTTTTTGGGGGGGGGGGGGGGGGGGGGTGCGCCGACCACCCAGCCCCCCCCCAATCCTGCCCAGAGTCTGCCACACACAGGTACCCCCTTCCACTCTTCACCCTTCACCACAGCAATAACCTAGGAGGGCAGGCCAAATAAATGAACAAAAGGTCATGTAGCCCCTCTCAGCCTGCCTCAGGGCACGAACCTCTCCCCCCAGGCCACACAGCCCTTCTCCATTCATTCATTTAATCTCTATGCTTATGGGAGAAAGGCGTACAAACACAAGGGGGCATTTGGACAGGGGCAGAGGGCTGCCTCGGAGAGGAGGCTGTCCCTGCAGAGACCTCTCTGCGGGGGTCCATGGGTCTGAGGCCCCAGGGAGAGGCTTTCTCCTCTGGACCAGGTGTCGCCTGCCAGAGGCTCTGCTGTCAGGGCTGTGGGGACTGGGGAGAGATAGCACATCCCTTAAGGCAGGGACCTGACCTCTTCTGCTCATTTGTTTGACCTGCCGGGCTTTGTAATGGCTGGGGTGATTAGTGGGAAAGGACCCCCTAGGGCAGCATTTCTCAATCTGGGGGTCACAACCCAAAAGTGGGACCCAAGAATATATAAAAGGGTCACAAACAAACTTAAAAAATGGATTTTCCTTTAAAGGGGAAAAGCGTGGGAAACGGTGGCTTTCCCCTTGCCAACTGGCAGAGCACCAGCCTGCAGGAGGTTGCTTGGGGCCCCCAACCCCACACACCCACCCCCTGCTCCACACATTGGGGGCTGGGGCCTTGGGGCACTGGGTTGGACTGGCCATTGATGTTTACGAGTGGGTCCCGGTACAAAAAAACTGAGAACCACTGCCCTAGGGCCTGAGGGAAGGGAAGCTGCAGGCAGGGCCAGGGCAGTGGGGACAGACAGCCATGAATGAGGGGGCTTTGCTGAAGGCAGGAGCATGGGGCAGGGCCTGGTGTCGGGAGGGTCCAGTGTACTGGGAGCTATTCAGTGACCTCTGCAGGCTGTGAAGAGATGGAGTAACCACCAGCAGTAGCGTGTAGGGGACAGACAGGCAGCAATTCTGAGATAAAGCAGGAGCTGGGCTGAGTCTGTGGCAGAGCCCAGGGCAGCGATGGAGGGGAAGCCGGGAGGAAAAGTTTGGGGCATGGGCGGTGTGTGGAGCCAGACCGGCAGCTCGCCCAGGAGCTGTGGGGTGAGGCTGTAGCAGAGCAAGAGTCCTTAGTGGAGGGGGAAGCTGGATGGAGGGGCAGTCAGTCAGGGACTGGGGCTAGCAGTGGGAAGGGGGTACCTGTGGGGGGCAGACGGTGTTCAGGATGCGGGGGCAGGGCGGGTCACAGTATCTTCTATATATATAAAAGCCCTAGTCTGTCTGTCTGTCTGTAACGCTTCATTCACACTCTGATTGGCTGTCTCAGCAGCCAATCACAATGCTGACTGAAACAACCAATCACAGTGCTCCAAGAGCATTCCAGACAGGAGGCGGTGCGGCGGAGCACTGCCATGATGGCAGTAACAGTGGGGACAGAGCAGGGATGGT